ATTACAAAGCGATAATACAAAACTTCATATCTCAAATTTTTTGTCAGACATTACTCCTACTTTAGATGGCTTCGGAATTCAAAGCTAGATGTAGCACAGAAATAGTAACCAGTATACAAACTTCACTTCCTTGAATAAGAATGAAAAAGTTTCTTTACGTGATTCATCGGATGAGCTTGACTTTGTAGAATCGGAATGCAGAAAAAAAACCAAGGATGAGATAAAGAGGAGAAAAATCACGCTGAATTACGTGACTCAAAAACCATGAATCAAAATAATAAAACCACAAGCGTTTCATGATGATTCTGCGTTAGTGAAAGTTCCGGGGCAAGCATCTATCACCAAAATACTGACTTGCAGAAATTAAAATAGATAAACATACGAGAGGCCTGCATTGGACGTCAAATAGCTGCTGGTCGGGTTCGGGTTGTAATTTAAAAATTTCTAATAATTGCTTGGCAAAAAAAAGTTTTGCTATAAAATAAAAATATATATATACACACACGCTTTTTCGAATCAATAATTTAAATAAACAACACACTATACGCTAACCAAATATCATCAAAACCACTGGCTGGAGAATTATTATGTAAAGAAAGATAAAATTGGTGGAAAAAGTGATGTTTGGTTAAGAATTGTCAACATTTATATAAATATAATTAAAAGGAGGACTTATAATTTAATACGACATGTTTGTAGTTCAACAAATAATCAAAGAACAATTACACCTTTTTTAATAAAGAATGTGATTCCTACAAAAATTAAAGAGGATACAATAAAAAAAAATTGTTAATTTTGTTTGTAAGATTTACGTCCATTTGAAACGATTGTGGGTTTGGGGTTTCAAGAATTAGCACAAGGATTTATTAAAATCGGATCAATTCATGGAAACGTATCTATTGAAGAATTACTTCCACATCCAACCACTGCATCCAGAAACATATTAAAGAAAGCAGAGTAGCTTTGGCGGAAAGTTTATTGGAATTTTTTCAAATTTCCGGTGGAGCTTTTACCACAGATTGTTGGACAGATAACTATAAGAAGATTAGTTATATTTCTTTGACAGAATTATTTTTTCTTCAACCTGAAATTAATATACTTTTTTTTGTGATGGATTCTGGTGCAAACTTTATGGCAGCGTTTCGAAATTATAGGCATTTACTTTGGTTTTTAATTTATTTATTTGATATATTTTAGTTCTACCATAATAATAAAAATTTAATATTTAAATTAATATTTATTGTTGTTATATTTATTTATATTTATACATATAGAATTAACACATTGTTTTGGTTGCCTCTTTCAAGGAAAACAATCTCCTTCTGTAATTATTACAATAAATAAATGTAAACTATTAGATAAATATTTCAAAAATTGTCACAACTCAACAAAACATTAAAACAATGCACCGATGCACGTTGGAACAGTAAATTAGAGGTGCTTGAATCTGCTCTCAGTCAATTTGATGATATTTATAATCTTCCTTGGATCGAGATTAATTGAATAAATTGATGTACAAATATTAAATAAAAAGATTTCAAGTAGCAAGTCTCTGTTTGGAAGTTTCAAAAACCAACATTACATCTAGTGATATCTTGGTACAAAGATTTATTAGATCATTTGTCAAGTGATAGCTTCTGATAATGGAGTTACAAAAAAAATCAAGCTAGTAGTTGCTGAAAATTTTTTTCAATCTGGTGATGTCATCTGGGTAAAAAATGAAATTAAAAGGCAATGTGCTAATCTAACAATGATGATTTGCAAACAATATCATCAACTTCAAATTCAAATGTAGAGTTAGGCGATTTTAGTAAATATTATGATGATGAAGATGATGACAAAGATGAAGTTGATTTGTATTTATCAACGAAACGAAAATACAAAAATATGATAATTTTGATATTTTAGAATGATGACAAAGATGAAGTTGATTTGTATTTATCAACGAAACGAAAATACAAAAATATGATAATTTTGATATTTTAGAATGATGACAAAGATGAAGTTGATTTGTATTTATCAACGAAAATACAAAAATATGATAATTTTGATATTTTATCCAAGACTTTCGAGGCTTGCTGCATGGTTCCCCGACAGGACGTTTCCCCGATAAAACGTTTTCTAATAAATTCTACCAGTTGGCATAATATTTCTTTGTTTTCATTTTTTAATAGTAACGGATAATGATAATGAGAATTTATTAGAAAACGTCCTGTCGGGGAAATGGGCGTGACCCATTGGGATCGTGATATAAAACGAATCAATAAAGAAATTCAAAAACTGTATACATATTATCACAATTAGCCTCAAATCTCAGAATGCTCGCCTCTCAAACGAAATTTTATACAAAATGAGAGTCAAATTCAGGATAAAAAAATTGATGGAGAAATTATGCTGGAATGGCCAAGATAATTCGAATCAGATGAGGCCGACTCTCTCAGGGTTAAAATATCCGAATTAAATGTTGAATTGGAATTGACTTCAAAAAATTCGGAGATACAATCTCCTAAGGTCAATAACCCCAGATCACTGAATTCTCTCGAGATTGGATTATCGTCAGAACCGGTTAAAATCGGTGGCGAGACAGATGGAAAAAATGTCTCTGCATCCAATAGGCCAAAAGGTTTCTTGTACGTAGAAAATAATGTAGATATGGTATTATAAGCAAAGCTAATGGCTCAGAATCAACCAGTGTAAAGCTTCCTACAAATAATTCACAAAAGTGGTGGACTCAGGTGCGAGAAATTTTTTGGGTAACCTTAGAAATTATGGAATTAAAGGCAATTCCCATTGTGACAAAAATGAGAGGTAATTTAAATGGTCCAACACTCGCATAGGATACTTATCCTTACGTTACGAAAAGTTATATATATATGATTTATTGTGATTTAGGATCCACAAAAAAAAGATTCGACTCAAATTACATCAGCTTCTCGGCCAAATGTTTTCAAGAAAAAGTTATAAAGTCGAAAAAAAATAAAAAATACATAATAATAAATAAGACTATTGATTTGTTACTTTAAAAATAAGATAAATAATACATAGTATGAATTAAACTAGCTATCACTACGATTAAAACTAAAATACTAATCGATTGATACACCAATGATTAACATTTGGATCGCTCAAAAGCTTAAGCGTAGCACCTGGCGCGAGTACACCACTAGCTTCTACATAAGAAATTTGAGTACCAGTACCTAAGCTAATTGTTGAATTAAACAAACTACCATTTATTTGGAAAGATTGATTCGATCCAGGTTGAAAGGCCTGCACCGCGATCTGGCCATTTACATTAGTAACATAATAGAAATTATTGACCGAAAGTTGAGGATATCCCAAGCTAACAATCAGAGAATTAGCATTTAATATCCAAAGCTGATTTTTAAAATTTTCAGCTTTAGGTTCGAGAGCAATAGATTGGTCAGCCTGTATGGTCCAATAAAGAAGATTGTCCGTATCAGTCGTTGAAATAGCGAATGGTATTCCTGACCTAAAAAGATTACAAAAATTAGTTAAGGCAAATGACTGATAAGAGAAAGAGAATCGTTCTTACAATGACATTTTGGTAGTAAATTATTTCAGGTACTGAGTGAGTTTTTTTTAACGGCGAAAAAAATTACCACGACTTTTAAAAATTTGTATTAGTTTTGTAGTTAAAGGTTTTTTTTTAACCAGATAGAGTTGGAGGAATTAAAAAAAAGAAGAAGGATGAAGACCCTTTATATATGTAATTACGAGATTATTGATAAATGAAATAACAAAGATTTCATACTTATTTTTTATTATTGATACGCCCATCTCTAGATCAATACTCTTGATTTCAGATATTGTTGTTGAAGAGTCTACTGTACTCCAAAGTCCCTTTGTGTGATGAGCTGGAATAAATTGTTTTCGTCAAATTATCTGAGAAAATTCTGAATTTGGTTCGAAGCGAATTCTTTCGCGTGTAAGAACACATCCCATGACATTGTGTCTCGCGGAAACTATTCAAAATATGAAACGACTGTTTGTAAAATTATACAAAACATATTTTCAGCAGAAATTGTTGTTTACTGATTAATAAATACTATTTATATTCTGATAATAATTTCCTTTTACCGAATTTACACATTATGATACGGATATTCGTATAATTGGCAATGATTTTCGTGATCAGATCACACAAAAATTTTATATAGTAAAAAAGCGTGGAAGTAAAGTTTATTTAATATTAATAATACAAAACCATTAATTTAACAATAATTAAGAACAAACTACTGTTTTTATTGTTGATACGCCCATCTCTAGATCAATACTCTTGATTTCAGATATTGTTGTTGAAGACTCTACTGTACTCCAAAGTCCCTTTGTGTGATGGGCTGGAATAAATTGTTTTCGTCAAATTATCTGAGAAAATTCTGAATTTGGTTCGAAGCGAATTCTTTCGCGTATAAGAACACAGCCCATGACATTGTGTCTCGCGGAAACTATTCAAAATATGAAACGACTGTTTGTAAAATGATACAAAACATATTTTCAGCCGAAATTATTGTTTACTGATTAATAAATAATTTCCTTTTACCAAATTACACATTGGGATGTGGATATTCGTATAACAGTCACAGGACATGTCACGCAGTTCAATAGGGAGTTGTAAAACAGTAAATTTTTGATGATCTGCATCATAATAAAATTCGAATTTACATGGTAAAATTTTACAATCCCCATTTAATACCCTTGCTGTGTTAGCAACCACCGCCAAATTTGAGATATAACTTCTTTATCATATTAATATGTATCTGCTTTAAGAAAATTTTTAAAGCAGGTTGTTAATAAAACCGAAAATAATAATAAATACTAATCCCGTACAAAACCCGTGCACATTCCGTATCATCTAATTTTTTTAAAACACGGAATGTGTACGGAATGCGAACGGAAATTCCGTACGTTATTTTTCATAGGGAAGGCCATTTTTCCTCACTGATTACGATTTTCCCTATAAAAAAATGGAGAAGTTTAGATTGGCATTTGCCATTTATACCTTTAGATTTATTTTATTAAAAATAAAGGGTTATATTAATAAACATTCTTTTTTTTAAATATAACGAGAACCATGGTTTTTGGCAGTATATTTATTATAGTTCATATCATATTTAACATAAAATAAAAGGTTGAAAATTTGTCGTGTCCACATTTTCTAAAACTCTTAATTCTTTAGCTTTTGGCGTGATCCACATTTATCTTAATAATTGTTTTCTCGGGCGAGTGACAGAGTAAGAGTGAGAATGAAAGTAGAGCGAGTAGAGCGAGTAGCAAGCGATTGTTTGGGTAAAAAGAGAGAGAAAACGAGAGAATGAAAGAGTGAAAGAGAGCAAGAGAGCAAGAGTGAAGAATAATGGTTTGTTACAGTCAAACCTTGATAATCCGAACCGCTATAAACCGATTTTCACTCTATACAAAATTGGTTAATACGATTTCTACCTTAATATTAAGCTTAGTTTTCGTAAAAAATATGGGGTTTTTGTCTAATTTAAAATTCTCACTTTAACTTTAAAAACATATTTACTTAATGCACCAGCCTCGGTTTGGTTAATAAAATTTTGAATGACATGAAGGCGTAAGTTTCCAACTATTAAAATGATCATCAGGTGTCAATATTTTGTAAAAACTAAAACTAATATACATTTTTTTTTTTAAATATATATAAAGAACGATTGATGTTTTTATGCAAATAATTTCCTTATTTGTATTTCTTCGGTCAAGATTGACAAGGTTTTTTATAACAAAATGAACACAGACTTTCCATCCAAACTTTAACATTAAAAAACAATTAATTATTTTTTATTTTTGTAAGACAGTCCAGTGTACAACTAAGCCACTTTTTTTACTGGAAATTTTGATTTTATCTCATGCTCATATAATATGTTGTCTAATATGTTTCAACTTTAGAAGCATTGGCTCTTCGAATATCTTGAGTATCTCTTAGTGCAATGAGTGCAGCAAATAAGCAAGGTAAAAATACTAACAGATGGTCTTGATGTTTTAGCTGCTATAGATAAAAAAAACCATCAAATTTTGAACTCGGATGAATATCAGAAATAGGAATCAAAAAAGGAGTTCTAATTTTTTTTTTTTTAGAACCGATTCCAAATTTGGAATCAATGGGTGGAATAATATTTTTCCTGCACTTGTAAAAAATTTTTTGGCAATAAGGCACAGATTTCGATATGAGCAATTATTTACAACGTATTGATAAAGAAAAAAGAAGAGATTGGAAAGAATTTTATGCACGTTCAACACATTCAGAACATGAAATAAAAAATTACTTAATTGATAACATTCATAAAATTTGCCCGGGGTTTAAATACCTTGTGGATTTCGAATGGGAAATCGAAGAGGGTCATCCTAACAAAGGAAAAGGAGATTTGATTTTTGGATCAGATTACAAAACTTATTTGACAATTGAAACTAAATTTCTTCATACAGGAAGTGGCAAGACTGCTCAAGTTTCTAGATATAATGCTAGACGTAGGGTTAAAGAGCAAGCTGAAAGATATAACGATTTTGCTACTAAAAGATTTGGAGTAGAAGTTGATGATGTGATTGGAGCTACATTCACCAATGAAGATTATCAAATTCATTTTCTTGATGATAATGATGAAAGAATTGCCAGATCGGTTGCAAAAGGTGAGAAAGATTCAATCTTTAAAGAAAAAAATCTCATATATAAATAATATTAATACTTGATATCAACTTTTTCTATTAGAATCCCAAAATGGGTTACTTGTTTTTATGGACCGTCTGGTTTCATTTTGTATTGTTTCTATGCTTTTGTACTATATTTTTAACATTTTTAAAACATTCTCTTTTGATACCCTTCCTGATGACCCTAATATCCCTATTGGTGGAAAGGTTCTCCACGAACTGGGTTTTTTCAATGTACTAGTCCTTGTTTATTCAATGTCTTTATATGCTGCTTATAGAGATGTTAAAAGTCAAAGATATTACATTTTCTATTTTGTAATTGTGATTCTATTTTTAATTTTTCTCATTGTTATTATTGCTTATCAAGTAATGGCAGTTTCATTTTCATCATTAATTACATATTTACATTATTCTTATTATGAAGAAAGGGACGACCCTAATTTTTATCCTATATTTTTCTCATTTCTTTTTACCTTTTCATTTTTGGAATGGATATTTTTTAATTATCTTAAACATTTCAATGGTTTTAAAAATCTGTATCTTTAAAGCTATTTTTATAATATTATTTAATTTGTTTATATTTATCTTAATAAACATTACTCATTTTTCTTCTTACTCTGTTCTTTTTTATTTTATAATTAAATTTAAACAACATGCAAGCCTTTTAAATTTCCGGACGAAGGCCATAAAGGGTCGAAATTGTAATTCCATTTTTTTTATATTAATTTAGAATAATATGGGGAACGAAATCTCAAGATCACATAATTGTGGAAGTTTTCTTGAGGCAAATATTCGTTCTTAATCCTTTTTTTAGTAGTGTGTGTATATATATAACATCAAATCTCAAAGCTAATCAATTAATTACAATTTCCCCTATAAACAATGGATTGCCAACTTTTATTAAAAATATAGGCTTATAACATTGAAATCATATTTGTTATAGTTTTATATCGTATTTAACGAAAAAAAAAAGGTCGAAAATTTGTCGCGTCACACTTTCTAAAATTCTTTAATAATTGTTTTTCGAGCGAGTGACAGAGTAAGAGTGAGAATTAAAGTATAGCAAGCGATTAATTGGGTAAAAAAAGGAAAAAGATATATATATATATATATACATATATAGCAAGAGTGAAGGAAAATGGTTTGTTATAACATTCAAATCTTGATAATCCGAATTTTACTGAAAAACGATGTTTGATAAACCGAATTTTTTTTTAAAATCGTTTTATCTCTTTAAATGGCCAAAATTGAGAATTTTTCAATACATATAAAGCATCCCCGGATTGGTACTGAGAGTGTCATTTCCAATGATTTTTGAGATTCATCTATTAAATTCAGTCATTGTTTTGATAAACCGTTCCTATTTTTGTGTTCCCGGCTTATTATTATCGAGTTTTGAATGTAATATTAATTCACAGATTTACCAACCAGGGTATCTTTGTATATATACATACAAGATTGGCACAGTTAAGATGACAAGGTAAAAGTTCTTACTTTTTCAAAATGGCGACTATATTAATATTACTAACATTAACACTAATCGAAAGAAAATAATAAGAAAACATTAAAGGGCAATTAATACTTTATGGGATTAAAGAGCTCTCCTTTTATTTATCTATAATGATTAATTAATTGCATGTTCACATAACAATTGGTAGTAATGAAGACGATAGTTTCAAACCTTGAAACAACCGAAGGCTTTGTATAAGCAATATATATATTAAATAGATCTATATGATTTAAAATAATTCAACAAGCATCAAAGATTAACCCCATTGTCTTTATTGTTTATATATATTACGAAAACCTACAGAACTGTTCAATTAACAACTTATCTTGGGGAATATTTTTTAAAAACAAAATGACAATTTTAAAAAAGTAGAATGTTTTAGCTATTAGAGAACTAAAGCAAGAGACTGTTTGCAACGATGTCAATATAAATTAGAAAACAGGATCATTTAATCAAGTAATTATTAGAACTATTATTGCTTGTTAATCCATTTAATACCTTTTCCTCTTCCAGTACTTACTACTCAATCTACTAAAATACGTGAACAACAATCTCAACTAAAGATTCTGGACGAAAATAATTTAAACCACTAGGAACTAATTATAAAAAAATTATGTTTCGTTTTGTTTTCAGTGAATTGTTGGCCACGCAAATTGTACTAAAAAATGGAAACTGTCGTAAAGGCAAGTCGCAGAGAAAATATGAGTGGTAGTTTACATAAAAAACAAAAAGGCCAACGAATTACATTTACATTGCGAATGGTCATACAAACTTTTCTATAAATCGGATTGGTTTGTTCGATAAATGCCACATATCAAACTCGAAAATGTGTAATCCAAATATAAGTTTTTTCTCTAAAAAATTCCATGTATAAATTATTATATACCGCTCATCTGTCATCTACAAAGTCCACCACCACGACAGTAACAACAATTTCTTCTTCCGTTCCTTCTGAAAGACTATTTTCTGATATTGTGATCAAGTTTTGTAATATACGAACAAGGACGTTCCAAGTTTTTATATTAGTGGATAATATTTTATAATACTTCACTCTAAAAAACCCTTCTCCTTGTATATATATACAATAATCTTATCCAATTTAAGCAATTTAATTGTATTATCTTATTATGTTTAAATACGAAAATAATTTAATTTACGTATATATTCACTTACTACAATAATTTATATATCATACAATCAATATAGAAAATCATATTTATTTACACTTACATCAATTGTAAATATTTCTTTAAAATTTCCCAAAAAAAGGTTTTGGTGTATTAACAAACAGAGCTTGAACCAGATAAAGTTTTGAGTTTTGGGGGAAATACTATTATTTAGATATTCCAAAAAGAACCGCACTGTAATTATACACAGCCACTCGTGAAGCTTAGAGCAAAGAAATTCATTCTTTTACCAATAGGTGGCCAATGAAACACTTAATTTTATTTTATAACTTTTAGACGCGTTACTATTTTAAATGGGAATTTGTGTGGTTGCTAAATTTCCTCTGTGACACACATCTTTATTGTTGAAGATCAAAAAATAATAATACGTAAATTCAAAAATTTTAATAATAATAAACAAAATGTCTTCTTCTGGTACAATAATAAGTTTTAGTCAACGTTCATACGATGGTGATAATGATTTTCAGGATGAAGAATTAGAAGAAGATAAACTCGAAGTGCAAAAGGTGAGCTAAATTAATAGTGTAATGCAATTAAATTACAATATTTACATGCTAAATGTCTAAATCAATAATTCACCTACTGCCCATTACCACCAATAATTACAGATAATGAACAATAGTCGTGATGCGCTTCTATTTGTTATCTATTGTACTCCTACAATGTTTTCAATTGAACCTAGTCAAAATTCAGAACAAATGCAAGAACAAGAGCAATATTCAACATTTAATTCAATAATAAAATGTATATCAGAAATAATGTTTGATAAAATGACTACTGAACAAAATAAAGATTTAATGGGAGTTATGCTTATTGGAACAGTAAGGATTATTATTATTAATAATAAACACTATTATATTTTTTTGAAATTACTCAGAGATAGCAAAATTTATTATTTTAATTATTAGAAAAATGCGCAAAATAGGCTTGAAAAAGATCATATTTATGTCTTACAAAATATTGATTCTTTAGATATTCATAGAATAAAAGAATTAAACGAAATTGTATCTGGTATTATTTGATCTGTTTATATATACTTACTTTCACATATGTTTATATATTACATATCATAAACATATTTGGTATTTTATTTTGTTGTATAATTCTAGGTGATTTTGATTTTGAAGAAAAAATCGGAATATGGGATGGTGAATTTCCTTTTGGTGATGTATTTTGGGTCTGCAGTGATATTTTTAATCCTTTGTTAGTTCCCCAATTGGCTTTTTTTATTACCTCAATTATTTTATTATCATTCTCCTTTCCAGAAAAGAAAAATACGTTAATTATTATTATTATTTAATTCTTTAGAACTTCAACCACAATCAAGACAAAAAGAATTTTCTTAGTAACTAGTGTTGATAATCCTCATCCAACAAATAAATATTTACGTAGTTCTACAATGACTCGTGCAAAGGTTGGTAATATTTATTCTAACATACTGTGATATACAATACAACATATTGTAATATTAACACTGATTTATTTTTTTATTTAGGATCTCATCGAATCGAAAATTGCAATAAATATTTTTGGTATTAATTCTAAACCTGACGAACCATTTAATTTGGATGCATTTTATTCTGTAAATTATATTAAAAACCTATTTTTTTTTTTCAATTCTTGAATAGTCATTGTTTCATCAAATAATAATGATGATCTGTTTTAATTAATAAATAGGAACTATTAACATTGGATAATGATATTACCAATTATTCTTTTGTGAGCACATCTAAAGATTATGAAAAAATGGCACTACAAATTAAGAGTAAAGAAGCACCAAAAAGGTCCACCTTTTCAATCCCATTCCGTTTGTTTGAAGATGAGTTAACAATTGGTGTTAAAGGGTTGGCAATAAATAAATATATTAATGTGTGTGACTTTTTTAAAATACACCATATATTCATCCTCCATATATTTTATTTATTTTATTTAGATATTCAATGATAATTCAAAAAGATAAACCTACGTATAAATATGTACATATGAGGTCTGAGACTGCTCGTGTAGCGGAAATCAAAACAGAATGGATTTGTGCGGTTAGATTCGACTTTTTAATCTATAATGTTTATATAATGTTTGTGAATAGATAATGTATTAGATGTTTTTGTTGATGTAATTTGATATACTTGGTTATATGTTGAATGATTTCCTATGAAAATATATATACTTAGGATACAACTCAAAGATTAATGAAAGAAGATATGAAACTTTATTATCCTTATGGTGGCGAAAAGGTTTGAAATATTGTTATTTAATATATTCATTTTTTTATTTCACATTATTATTATAATATAATCTTAATAAATATTGATTTTCATGATTTTTAGGTTGTGTTCACAAAAGATGAAATAGCCAAGATTAAGAGCATTGATGATAAAAAAGGTAAAGTTTAAAAATAAATAAATTTTATCAAATTATACGGTGTATATATATATATATATATATATATAATATACATATACTATTTAATTTTATCTATAATTATAATTAGGAATAACACTTCTTGGATTTAAACCTGCCAGTTATTTAAAATTTGAATATAATCTCGAACATTCATTGTTTATTTATCCTGATGAAGAGGTATTACTAAACAATTAAGTTTGTTTGTTTGTTTGTTTTTAAGGAATGTCATTTTTTATTTAAACTAATTAATAAGTTGTTGATTTATTTTAGCAATACGAAGGCAGCACAAGAACTTTTGCTGCACTACACAAGAAAATGCTTGAATTGGATAAAATAGCTATATGTTTTATCACTCGTTCCGTTGGACGTCCACCATCTTACGTTGCACTCAAACCACAAGTATGAAAGATAATAAATTTTACATATATACATCATTATTATTGTTGTTGTCATTAATATTAATTATATAAAAAAATAAAAATTTTTTGAAGGTAGAAATATTAGATGAAAATGAGCAACAAATTGAATCCCCCGGATTCCATTTAATTATTTTACCATCTGCTGAAGATATCCGACCTCATCCTCCTAATGCAAAAATTGCCCCTGGTAATTAATACATTTATATACATAAACGTGTTTATTAATTTGAAATTTTCTAAACAATCATTTTCTATTATTTATAATATATATAGCACCTGATGAATCAGTCAATTATATGAATCAAATAATTGATAACTTGATAATAAAAGATGGATATGACCCTAATAAATTTCCAAATCCACGTAATATTCTTTTTATATGTATAATATATGCATATATATTTATATATATATATTAACAATCAATTTAATTACTATAGTTTTGGAAAGGTTTTATCATGTTCTAAAACAAATAGCTCTTAATGAAAGTTTATCGATTGAAACTCCCGATGCAACGATACCAAAATATTCAGTTATAGATGAGGTTTTTTCCCTATATATGTAATATCTGATATTATTATTTATCGGTTTATTTATTAATAATTATATAACTTTAATGAAGAATGTTGGCGAATTAATTGAAGAATTTAATAAAGTGGCAAGAAATATAGAATCAAATCAAATGAACATGACACCAGAATCACTAACAGAATCAGCATCTTCATCATCTCGTCGTAAATCATCTACACCAAAGTTAGGTGTAGAAGAATTATATAGACAGGATATGGTAAATAAAAAACCCTTTTATTAACATTGATTTTTCAAAATATTAATATTATTTTATATATACTAATTATTTTATATGTATAATTCTATTTATCAGTTAAAAAAAGTATGTATATTTTTCTATTAAATTGTACAATGTGTTCTTTACCAATCTAATCTTCTACACACACATAAACTCTTTAACGTCCTTCTTTAATTTAATTTTTATTACAAATCCTTAATCATTTTCGTGTTAAAAAACAAAGGCTACTGTTGCCGAATTAAAAGCATATTTAGAAAGCAAAGGATTAAGACCACATGGTAAAAAACCTGATCTTATGAAACAAGTTGAAGTATACCTTGGATAATAACGACATCATTCAAAATATCAATTAAAAATATTGTTGCGCTTATTATTTGTTTATTATAAATTTTTAAAAATTATTTTATATATATAATATACTATTATTTTTAGCAAAAGGAAAGCTATGAAAAAAAAAAATTAATAAATCAAATCAATATTTTACAAATGATAAAAATTTTTTCATAATCTTATTCTAAAGCAAATATTTACAAAGAAATTTTTAGAAATTAAAGCAAAAGAAAAAAGAAAAATTATAGATTAATAATATGTATAATTATTTTTTTTTTTAAAAAAAACCATCCGACATTCACGAGATGCTCCTTCCCTTTCTATGCATCAGAATCCGTCATTTCAACATCGTCATTATCTTCACTACTATCGGTCATTTCAACATCCCTAATTAATTAATTACAATAATAATAAATTATTTATTAGTTTCGTGATAAGATTAATTAATGATCGATTAATCTAATGATAATTACCACATTGATAACGCATTGGTATTTATTGATTTAGTGGGTGTAGCAATGGTGGTAGAAATAGCAGATTGAGTTGTAATAGTGTTGGTGGTTGTGATGGTTGTGATATTAAACGATTTTTTTAGTGCTATATAAATAAATAATCATATTGTTATTAATATTATATTAATATTACTGTCCATATTTATATATCAATTGATCAGCTCACCTTCTGTTGCTGCCATTTGTACATTCTCTTTCATCTCCTCACCTTGATTGAGGAATTCGGAATCATCAAATTTATTTTTTTTCGTTTGACGTTCATTAAAACCATTTTCGATTTTTCTTTGCATTTTTTCATTATGATCTCGCTCCCTTTCCGGTTCTTTTTCCAGAAAATCAAACAATCTAATTGTTCATGAATGAAATCACATACTTACATATATAAATATATATATGTAAGGATCTATTAGTTTAATTAATATCGACATTAATAAATTGCCTTTTTGCTTCATTGACAGTTCTTAGCCTTCCGCCGTTCAGGCCACGACAAGCTTCAAAATTTGTTGTTTTTTGACTGGCCGTTTGTTCACCTTGAGCTCTTAACATCGTATTGAATCCACCTTTGCCGCCATATAATGGTAGTTTAAGCGTCAAGGTTGTAAACTCGACGTCGTCATTCTCAAATATTCTGGTCGAGTCATTTAAACATATTCCAGATATTGTGATGAGTTTTTGGTTTTTAGGTTCGACCAATAAGCGTCCAAATATTATTTGTTTTAAATCGAATATCGTGGTTTTTGCTACAGCAGGAAAGAATAAACAAAGTGGTTTCATTCCACTAAAAAGTTTAACAATTACTGATTGATATATCATTTTTTTTAATGTGTATTTTCGTATTTTTTTTTAAATGAGTTCAAAGTATAAATGAAAAAAAATGAAATTTTTGATTAGTTTTTTTAGTTTTTTAAAAAATTTTTTGTCAGTAAATTCGTGAGGTAAGATAAAATTAATCAATCAGTTTTTATAATGTTTGTTTATTTTGAATTTTGTGAGAAAAAGATTTTTTTTATGGAATAGTAAATATGCAAGTGAAAATTATGTATTGAAACACGTGTAACATTATTTGATCAACAAACCCCCTAAAAAATTTCGTGTTACATTTCTATTAAAACCCACTCATATAAGCATTAATATAATGAAAAGAGTGTTTAATATTAACACATTTCTTAATATCTTGATCCGATGCTTTTGGAACCATGTTTTCAATTCACTCCAAGAATAATCACAATATTTGTTGCATATCATTTGGCTTCTCTCAAAAATTTGGGTAAAATATTAGCATCAGGAAATTTTCCCCATCACAATATTATGTCCATAAATTTTAATATGTAAAGTTGTAATATTCACATAAAATTATGTAATATTTACACTTGATGTAATAATTGCATAAAAATCATGTAATATTTACATTTGATGTAATAATTGCATAATTTTTTGCATAATATTACGGGCCTGCCGTAAATAGTGTAATAATTACGTAAATCTGAGAAAAATTTCCTGATGCTACTTTGTGCCAGTAGGTAACAATATATATATTGTTACCTACTTGCCATATGATTGGTTTGTATTCTTGTCATACTTTGAGGTATGATAAGTTTGCATTTGTGTCATACCTTTAGGCTTGAAGAGTTCATGATTGTTTTTTCATTCAAGGCCGACTGATGGCCCATTCTGGGTGTATAGAAGAATTTGCATTTGCGTTGTGCTTTGAACTACAATTTGCTTGAATTTGTGTCATACTAGTAGTCTAATAAATTACTATAAAAACATATAAATAAAACCTCTATCCCCCCACTTTGGACAAAAAAAACTAATTCATAAAAGTACATTTCTTATATTTCTATGGTGCCAACTATCAACATTCCGAAATTTTAAATGAAGATCTTCATGTGATTTGTCAAGTGAAAACATTTTTATTGGTCAAAATACCAAAATTATTTACCATATTCTCTGGAATATAAGCACCACTCAAATATAAGCACCAGTATGAATTTGCAATGAAAAAAAAAACAAAAAAATAGAAAAATAAATATAAGCACCACATATATTTGAATTATTTTATATAATAAATAAAAAGTAAGAAATTTTTTTATTTTGACTATTCTTTCCAGAATCACCAGACTCCTCATCTAATTCATCAGCTGAATCATCACCTCTATTTAATATTTCACCTTCATCTTCCTCATTTTCATTTTCATCCCCATCATTTTACCCAAAGAATGATCTTATGATCCATCAATTGCATTACTAATATCACACTTTTTTAAATGATTTCACAATCATTTCTTTTGGAATTTCATCCCAAACCTCCAGAAACTATTTACAAATGACATTATGTTCAGGCTTTCTTAAATTTCCATTTTTTGTATAGGTGAAATTACCTGAACTCATCCAAGTATTCCACTTTTCACATAGTCTATCTTTAAATGGTTTGTTAATACAAACATCAAGTGGTTGGACAACAGAGGTAAGACCACCTGGAATGATTGCTAAATCAGTGTTTTCATTTTGTGCAATTTTTTTGATAGAATCTGTCTTGTGACCTTCAAAGCTATCCATAACAAATAAAGCTTTTTTTTTTTGTAATTATATTTCCAGGTCTTCTCTTCCAAACCTTATCAAACCAAGCTACCCTTTTGGGTGCATTAGTACAATGATTTCAGAAGGTAAATTCTTTGGCATTCATTTACCTTTAAAAATAACAATTATTAGCACAATTATTTGAGAAGATAAATTCTTTGGAATTCAATTACCTTTGAAAATAACAATTGGTGGCAGTTTTGCACCATCTGCAAGAATTGTAAGGACACATGTAAAATGGTTTTTATCATTTCCAGTTGTTCAAACTTGCACAGTTTTTGCACCATGTTTATCTATTGTTAAATTTCCAACCATATCAAAATAAACTCATCATATTTCCAATTTCTGAAAGTTCATGTTCAAATTGTTTTTGTTTTTTAATAATAAATTGTTGGAATTCGAGAATTTTGATGTCAAGATGAGGAGGAAGCTTCTGACCAATCTTTGTTTTACATCTCATTGCAAAATTATACCTTCTAAGGAAGCCATAGAACCAACTTTCTGATGCATGAAATTTTTCACTGGCACCTGGATAAATATCAGCAAATTTGTTTGTTAAAAGTTCTTTCATGTAAGCTTTAACAATTTTAGGTGTTATGGCAATTTCATGGAAAGGAATTGTCAAGGCTCAGGATTAGTCTTCTTTTCTCCCTTATTCTTAATATATCCTGTACAATACCAAGAATAACCGGGTTTGTACCATTCTGGAAGGTTTGATTCATCAGGTGAGTTTGAGACTCAAAGCTTGGCTTCTTTACAATGGATAATACAAAAAGTAGTAACTTCAGAGGGTCTCATGTTCAACATCATAATCATGTCTGCAAGATCCTGCATAGTTAGAATTTTAGTAGTGTTGATACTTTGAATTCTTCTAAGTCCCTCATCTAAGGAGAAGTGTTTAGGAGTATTAGGAGTTTTAAATGGATTGGTTAATCATTGTACGAGTTGCTTCTTCTGAATTTCATTAGAAGCTTGAGTAAGTTCTGGAAATTTAGCATATTTACCAAATTTTTCAGGATCGACTCCAGCTTCTGCCAGCATAATGGAAATTTGTTTATCACATAGTGACAAAATTGAATGCAGATGAATGCAGATCTTTTTTATGATGCGCAACAGCATATTTTTGATTGTTTTAAAATAGAAAGGGCTGGTTATAACACAAGTGATTAAAACTATAAAGATTAATATTAATAAAATCAAAAGATTGATAAAACACAACAAACCTAGGATTGATACAACTATTATGAAGTTTTTTTTTTAGAAAAATTTGCATATTAAAAACAAACACAGTAGTAACAAAAAGGGTCAAAATAACAAGTATTTAAGCATCTATGGATTTAATGATTTCATGGATAATGCTCACATACATTTGTAATTAATATCAAGTGTAAAGCTCTGAATGGTTCAGTTTTTTGGTTTATATTTGACCCAAAAATTTCAAACATTCTAAATTTGTTAACTACACAAAAATATACATAATAACTTCAAAAAAATCATATAACCATAACTTATAGCTTAGTTTAGCAAATGTGTTACAAAGTAGAGATGCTGGAAGGATCCTGTTTCTAAATACATACACAATTTATAATTTTATACCATGATAACTATGGTTGCTTGCCAAAACTCCTCTGGAAATCAATTGGCAGAGTTTTGACAGGTAACGCACTAATTGTTTGTTAGAGTTTTGGCAGAGTTTTGCATTTAGGGATTTTGACAATTAGCAGAATTTCAGCAGGTTACACACTAATTGTTTATTAGAATTTCAGCAGAGTTTCAGCAGTCATTAAGAGGTTTTGGCAAGCAATTTTAATGATAACAATGGTATGGAGATCATGATTGAATTTTATACATAATGCCATGTTTAGATATAGCTGGTCAGTTACAGGTCGGATTGTTACATATTCATAGATTCATCACAAAAATTTGCAGTCAGTAGACATTCAGTACTGTACTCTTTTGTATTCCTGTACTGTATGATCTAAAATTAGCATTTCTGTATTAAATGTTACAAGTACAGAATCCATTTGATTGGTGGGGGTGCTACATACTGTATGTTGGTGTGTGATTTTTTTAAAAAATTTTCTATTTTTGTAGATCATACAGTACAGGAATGCAAAAGAGTACAGTACTGAATCTCTATATACTCAAAAATTTGCATGTTTAGAGTTCCTATTCATAATACAAATTCTTATTTGAATTATTTGTTTATTTGCTTTATTTGTTCTATTTGAATTATTCATTCTATTCACTTTATTAGCTTTATTTGAATTACTCATTTTATTTATTTTGTTTGTCTTATTCACTTTATTCAAATTATTCATTTTATTCGAATTATTCATTTTATTCAATTCATTTGTTTTGTTTGATTCATTCATTTTGTTTGTTTCATTTGTTTATTTGAATGGAAATCCTAAGGATGTCCTATTTTTTCAATCATATATAAAATTCATCATCTCCACAAACTTTTAAACTCTTATTGTTTCAGGTTCTAAAATACAATGCCTTTGAGTAATTAAGTCTGCCACCAGAAAAAACTTGTTCACTGGTTGTTATTAGATTAGAAATTAGTGGGTTTGGTTCTAAATAAGCAGAGTGCAAAAATTAGAATACCAGGAACTGCCAAGTAGCCTAAGCTCTGAACAGTTCAGTTCAAACCAAACCAAACCAAACCGAAATTTTTCAGTTTGATTTTTTAGAATCTGAAACTGAACTGTTCGGAGCTTTAATCCAGTGATTCCATTCTGTAAATCATTAAAAACTAAATAAATATCATAGGTTGGCAACAAATTGGAGGCAATCTTGGTCAACTGGCAGTTGGTAAAGGCAATAACATATGGGGTGTAAACTCTGTAAAAAAGTTAATATACAATTGACATTGGGAACTAGCTGTTGACTCAGCTGTAAATGTTGGTGTTGGTGTTGATGGAACTATTTGGGCTATAATGGTGAAGATAACATTTTTGCATGGAATGGTAGGTAACCATTTCTCTTGCCATCCATCTTTCTTAGTTTCAGTTTGTTTTCTGTTAACTTTTGATTTTGCTGTATATTATAGGATGCAGGTTGAGGGTTCTTTAGTCCAAATATCAGGTAATTTTTGTAAGCTTTACAGCTGTCAAAAATCACAAATTTGGCTACATTATTTATTTTTTTTTTACAGTTGCCAATAAAGATCACATCTGGGGTGTCAATCATATAGGTAAGAACTTTTACTAAATTGGCAGTAATATTAATGGTAGATGGGTTGAAGTTCCCGATGGGTTGTCCAATGTGTCAGTAGCCTCTGATGGGACCATTTGAGGTGTTAATAGTAATCAAGATATCTTTAAATGGGTGGTGTCAACTGGTCAGTACCATTTTAAATTTGACCTTAGTATTTATATTTAGTTATTGTTTTAAAAAATAGGTTCAAATTCCTGGAAAGTTCAAGCAAGTTTACACCAGTAGTGAAAAATTAGTGGTTGGTGTCAATTATAATGATCAAATTTTTCAATATGTCAATAAAGGTTGGCAACAATTTGACAGCATGCTCAGGAATGTTGCAATTTCTATTGATGACATTGCGTGGGGTGTTAATAGCGCAAATGATATTTATACATGTCAAGATAATTTACTTTTATGATTTAATAAGTTGTTAATTTTATCAGTTATTTTTGTTGCAAATTATTATGTTATTAAATTAACAATGATTAATTATTTAACATGATCATAATGGCTTCAGTGAAAGATCTGCATTTTTATAATTCTGAATGTAAGTGTTTTAATTTGGGAATGATCTACATGTAAACCAATTGTCTGCAAAAAAATTGTATTACACTTTTTGTCTACAGGATGATATTAAGGTTTCTGGTCCAAACTAGTTTGGGCAATTTGGGCTTCTCAACATTTCTATAAGCATGAACATTAAAAAACTATATGAATCAACTTATTTTAACTTAAACAACTTTAAAATAATTTCACCCAATTTCAGCTAATAACAAAAAGTAGTTTAGGCTTATAAAAAAATAATTTTTGCCCAAAGTCTTTGGGCAATTTCGGCTACTAATAGAAGCAGTTTCAACCAGAAACCTTAGATGATATGGCAATTAATTCTCACATTCTCATTAAGGTTTCTGGTCCAAACTGTTTTCTCAAAGCCCAAACTAGTTTGGGCAATTTGGGCTTCTCAACATTTTC